CCTGGGATCTGCATTCGCTACTGCTAAGTTGCTAACAGTGTGAAAACCGTTTCACTCCCGCCGGCCTAAATTCGAGGTCCTCCGAGAATAACTCAGTCCAAGGCAGGACCTTTACCTTTCTTATCTCTCTCGTAGGCTCTAACTACGTCGGGAGCTGTTTCTAGAGGTTCGGTTCTAGTAAACCGGCGGTCGTCTTCCGGCTCCTGATAAGCAAATCGAACCTTATACTGTTTCTGCGGACGACCTCTACATTGTTAATCCAGTTTTAATATTTTCTCCAGAAGCTTGCAGACAAAGGGACGCTGGGCCCCGTTCCCAGCATAGATTACAAGCACAGGTATAGCTCTCAAGCTTGTGTTTCCGCCACGGGGCTAGGTCCCACTTACACGAATTAAGAGATATTGACCGTAAATAGCACAGATCAACGGTCAGAATCTCATATTCCGTGCAAGTGGGACCTTGCCCCCGGTTTCCAGCGGGTGACTATACGGAGCTACTACCCGTAGCTGCGAGGATTCCACTTGCCCCCGGTTTCCAGCGGGTGACTATACGGAGCTACTACCGGTAGCTGCAAGGATTCCACTCTCCGGGTTGAGATGTTGAGGGATTCCCAGGGGCTAGTCCCACTAGCAGCGTTGAGCTACCTCAGCGCCTGAATCTGGATGCTTTTTGTGGAGATGTGCTGAAATGGTGTTGAGTTTCCTGAACTGCAAGTCTCCACAAACACGTCCAGATTCAGGCATTGAGGTAGCTCAACGCTGCTAGTGGGACTTGGCCCCGGCCTCAGTTTCATAATGTTAATGAAAGTTGCAGGCATTTTATTATAAAAAAAGAAGTAAAAATAAAATAAAATAATAATAATAATAATAAATAATAATAATAATAAATAATAATAATAATAAATAATAATAATAATAATAGTAATAATAATAATAATAATAATAAAATGTGGTGGGCGCATCTGGCCATGTTTTAGCGGGAATTTCATTCTCATTTTGCCCAGTTCGAGAGTGGTGTGGGGATGCCCACAGTTCAGACCTGGACCAACTTGGAACAGCTGAAGTAGTTTTATGCCCTTTTGGTTCCCCAATTAGGTTATATGTAGCGACGGAAAGCGTTCAATAAAAGGTAGAATGCCCCACGTGGACGACGTCAAAAACTGATGAAAAACAGACAAAATTAAACACCCGCCTTTGTGACCATTACATTGCGGCATTATCACGCCATAGGGCCTCGCTGCACTACTCTCCGCATGCACAACAGCAAAAAGCACGGCGGTGCATCTTTCCATGTGCTGGCGGAAGATTCATTCTCACTTTGCACATTTGGAGAGTAGTGCAGCGAGGCCCATACTGTAGGAGGAGATTCCCATGGATCCATCTGACCCTGCGCTATGGGGAGACTCGGTGGGAAAAGTAGGTCGAGTAACTATACATTATTGCAGAATTTGCAGTGCAGCTCACGACGTGTGTATGGCCCTATGTAGTTGCACTACTCGCCATCCGCCAAGATTTCGAATGCATCTGCACAACAATGATGTCCAAATGCAATCAAAATGTTGGCGGATGGCGAGTAGTGCAACGAGGTACCGCTCCGCGACCCTGGAGAGGCCACCGACAAGGTGTGAATCTATTCCATCAAAGGGCCTCCCCACACCACTCGAGAAATGTGAAAAGGACAAAACGTGTGGCGGGTGCATCTGGCCATGTTCTAGCAGGAAGTTCGTTCTCATTTTGCACATTTCAGGCGTTGTGTGGCGATGCCCTAAGTGGCTCCTGGGGAGCTGGAACAGCTCCTTCCAGGGTTATGGGAACCATGTGGACCTCCCGAAAAACAAACAAACAAAAAAAAAAAAAACATGTGGACCTCTTCCTGACCGTTGAGGGACCGCTACGGGTATCCTTCTTTTTTCTTTTTTTTTGGACTACCGGTATTCTCGAGGGAATGTATGCCCGTGACTTCTTGCGAGATGGAGCGCCGCCATCAGTCAGCCGTAAATTTCGCGCGGGAAGGGCGAGCGGGAAAGGGGGAAAGTACGTACATCTACATTATAGATATCCTCATACTACTGTAGCGAACTGCCCATGGCCAAGTCCATCACACCGGGTTTAGCCTTCAATTCGAGTATTTTTGAAAGTGGCCAGTGTGCGGCCGTTAGATGGTCACAGCGGATGGCAGGACAGGAATTTGTGTGTACTTGAACAAAGGCTACACCTGAGCCAGTACATGCCCCCGGGGCCAAGTCCCACTAAAGGTGAGAAAAGTACATGAATGAGAACCATTCTTCTGTGCGACACGCTTGCCAGCCACAGATAGAGAAGGATCGCCAAAGATAGAGAAGGGATCGTAAGGTCGTGCTTTGGTTAGTGTGCAAAGAGGAGGGTTCATGTTTTTCGTATTCTCATTGGCCACCAAATGTGGCAGGTTTTACTTTTCAAAATTTGTCTGTTCATGGGTGAGGAATGAAAAGCGGTTCGAAATCCGCGTCAAACTGATTTGGAAAAAGAAAATTGGTGATGGGACTGTGTCAGTCTGAGGAACTGCCGCTGCACTGCTGCGGACTCTGTCAGTGGACAGGCACACACTGCCACTAGGAGCCTCAAGTTTCCTCAAACTTGAATCTGGACGTCTTTGTGTAGATGTGCAGAAATCCCGTTCTGTGGCTTCCTGAAACGCACATTTCCACAACCAAATTGTCCCAAGGTCTCTCTCTCTCTCTCTCTCTCTCTCTCTCACACACACACACACACACACACACACACACACAAGCACACACACACACAAGCACACAAACACACACGCACACAGGCACACACACACACACGAGATGGCTTGTGGAGGGAATAAGAGAGAGAATTTGGAGTTCTTAAAAACACACACACACACACGCACATACACACGCCTAGACGTGTAACCGAACAGCCCTTGGAGGGTAATACGTCAATGGATGTACCACAGGGCTCGCTGCTTAACTGTGGCCAAACGGCCGTGATCACACAGTCGGGGCTCGGCCGGGGGAGCATAAGCACATGAAAGACTAAGGGCGTCGTTCGACACTCCTCGGGGATGCGATTCCGAGGATTCCATCGTCCTTCCACCTGTCCTCGGAGCCTATTTTCGGAACAGAAATGTGAAAACACTCCGAGGACAAATCCTTGGGCTCCGAGGATTTCCCAGCCAAATCGTCCTCAGCTCCAAGGGACCTCGCGAGGTCCTTTGGAGCCCAAGGATCCGCGATTATCGGGGTGTCGGGGGCGAGTCCAGAAGGGAAAATGGAGGTCGAAGGTGGTCCAGTGATGGTCCACTGGCCGGAAGACGGACATCGCGGGCAGTCCTCGTCCAAAACGTCCACCAACGGCCTCGTCGTTTTACCATTGGCGGTGATTGGCGGTACGGCCCTGTCGGTTTGTCGGGCGGCCCCACGGTGGTGCCGTGGCGAGCGTCGGATGTCTTCGGGCGGCTCCTGGACGGGTCTTGGCCTTCCTGCGGGCTTCCCAACGGTCGAAAATACGGATTTTGTAAGCGTGCTCCCCCAGCCGGTGCTTGCAGCAATTTCGTACGTTGGCGTCTTCCCTCTCGCAACGTGTGTCTCCGGTCGCCGTGATTGCGACAGCGCAAGTGTGTGTTCTGTCTCGGCTGCCCTCTCGTTCATGGCTGACCTGTACCGCAGGCTCCCTTTGCTGCTGCCCGTCGCTATGCTGCTGCTTGCCGTTGTCGTCTTTCATATCTGCTTCCTCAGTCGTGTCCCTGGGAGGAAACAGACGCGGCGAACGCCGAAGAGGGGCGGGAAGATGGAGAAGGTACAGACGAAGACCACGCTGCCCGTACGGGCTGGGGGGTCGTCAGGTCAGCATTGCAGCAGTACGGAAGGTGGCAGGTGGCCGTACGACCCAACGCTGTACAGCCACCTGCCGTCCCACGAGGTTTCGTTGCCTCCGACTGACGACGAGCGCGACGACCCCCGATCCTCAACGGTTCCTCTAGGCAGCGGTTCGACGCAGGATTGGATGGGGAGCCAGGTGTGCAGACAAGCATCGACGTTGGCGTACACTGATCTGCTGGAGGGGTGGACCCGGGCTGGTTATGACGCAGGACTCGTAGATCTCAGCTTCGGTTTGAGGACTGGTAGTGCTGAGGATGTGACGCACACCGTTCTCGTGAGCCCAGCTTCTGGCACCAACCACACAACGCCTTCGGTGAGGGTGTCGGGCCTGCTGGGCAACCGCGCCTGGTGTTCTGGTCAGTCGGGCGACGAACGTGGACTCTTTCCGCCAAGGCGGGGGGCAGCGGACACAGCAGGTGTGGCCGCGTCGAGGACGAGGACAGGTGGATCGGCTCCCTGTGGATCGACTACGCCAGGCGGCACAATCGACGGTCGACGGGACGACGATGAGTGCTCCGCTGCGGAGGTCGTGGGATGAAAGGTTTGGGATGATCATCGGCGACAATCGCGTGAAGGGAGCACGTCCGGCATAACGAGAGGGGTGGCGAAGATTAATGTGGCGCCGGACGATAACTTCGGCGATTGCGATGGTGCAGGGGGCGAAGATTGCCCTGCAGACGACGGGGCCAATGAGAACGACGAGGACGACGACGGGGAGATGGAGATTCGTCCAGTAGGGAAGAAGTGGGGAGGGTCAAGGGCCACAAACAAGTGTACAGAACCGCGCGTGGGGCGGAGAGGCAGGAGGGGTGTGGAAGATACATTGGCAGGCGAGGGAGCAAAAAGCAGGGATTTTTGGATCGTGGAGCACATGATTGCTCTGATCCGAGCTAAAAGAGACCAAGATTTGCATCTGGCCGGCGTGGGGCACAACAGCGGAAGGATGAAGACGAAGACATGGAAGTGGGACGACGTCGAGAAGAGGCTCGTGCAGATGGGGGTGATGAGTAGAAAGGTTGTGGACTGCGGGAAAAAATGGGACAACCTGTACCAGCAGTTCAAAACCGTGCACGAGTTCATGGGAGAATCGGGGAAGCCTAATTTGTTCACACTAACGCCGGGGGTCCGGAGAGGAAGGAGCGGGGGTTCGACTTTCGGATGGATGAGCGTGTGTATTTGGAGATGACGGCCATGTCCAGGGGCGATCACACTATACACCCCACGAATCTCGCGGACACGGGTGTGGCTGGAGTTGTTCAAATGGCTGCCCCACGCGGAGGTCGGAACGAATCCGGTGGTAGTGAGGGATGCGGGGATGGACTGGACGACGAGGGATCGACGAGGGATTCAACGTTCAGTGGTGGTGGCGGTGGCGGTGGCGGTGGCGGTGGCGGTGGCGGTGGCGGTGGCGGCAAACGGAAGAATGTAAGACAACAGACCTTTGACACGATTGCGAACGTCATGAAGGAGTACGGGAATCTGATGGCGACGACGGTAGGCAGCGAGAGCAAGAGGCAGTGCTCAATTCTGACGAGGCAATGCGACATTCTCGAGCGAGAGTTGGAAGTGCAGAAGGAGCACTGCGAGAAGGCCGACCAGGCGAACTTGATGATGTGCAACGATCTTCTGGAGATTGCTAAGCCGATCCGCGAGCGATCCTAACGTCGCTCGGCCACAAATGTCCGACGTCCACGCGATTGCCACGTGTGCAGTTCTGGAGCATCACCGTTGTCGTCGTCCTGCATGTTGCAGTGCGGTGATGGGCAGGTGGTGTAGAGACGACAGGTCATTTTTGCCCGCATAGTTTATTTAAGCGTCGATTTGTTTGATGTATGTGAAGGGTATTCATTGCTGTCATGCCCTGCGGCGCGTCCTTCGGTTGTACAGTAGGTACCTTGATTTTGTATTTTGTTTACTGGCTGCTGTTGTGAGGCGTTGCCGCCATGCATGGATGTCGATCTGCAAGGGTCTTCTTTGGGGGTGTTGGAGAAGGAATAGGTGGCAGGGTGCATTTTTCGGGCGGGAGGGGAAAATGGCGGACAGGGGTGCCTCGAGTTTTTTATGGTAGCGGACTCTTTCGACCTCCCCCAGGGTCCTCCTGCGCGCCCACATGCGTTGTTGGCCATGCGAGGGATCACTAGCGGCGGGGAAAATGGTCCGTGCACGATCGGCGAAGGGGCGGGCTTTTGTGGGCGGCGAGGCGTGTCCATGGTGTTCTACGAGGGCGCACTATGTACAGAAGGAGAGTCTGGGCGCTATTCCGTATCGCAGTGATTGAATTCCCACCGCTCCAAGGGTAGCGTCTGCACACTGCGTCGTCGTCGCACGCCTGCACATCCGCTTCGCCGCTCCACGCTTCCGCTTCCGGCTACGTAGGAAGTGCACTTTCATGCACAGCGAGCACATGCTCCTTTGTGGCCGCCATCATCGGAGAAACGGCTCCGCGGCCGGTGCCTCTTCAGGCCCATCAACCACGTGCTCCTTCGTCGACGTGCTCCTTCGTCCACGTTCTCCATCTTCGACGTCCTCCCTCGTCCACATGCTCTTTTTCGGTCGCCATCGTTGTCGCGGCTCCATGGCCAGTGCCCGTTCGTGCGCATCATCGACATGCTCCTTCGTCCATGTGCCCGTCGTCGACCTCCACGCGGCCTTCGTCCATGTGCTCCTTCATCCACGTCCTCCTTCGTTCACGCGTTCCTTGTTTCTGAGTTGTGGACGAGATGGCCCCGAGGAGTGCGTCAGGGAAGGGCAGGAAAGATGGCAGAGTAGGGGAGGGGGGGGGAACCCAAAAAGGCAGAGGCCACGTGCCAAAGTCGAAAAGGCAGCGCGTTGCAAGGCGATCTCCGAACACACAGACGACTTTCAGGTAGACGAAGTGCTGATGGTGGATGCGTAAGGGACGACGGGGGCGATGCGATTGGGTTTTGGGCGGGATGGGGTTTCGAGGGAACAACTGTCCGCAATCAAACAGAGCATCATCGTTGGTGCTGCCGGGGCGTTGCCAAGGACCCCGAACGCGGTAGGGGTTGTCATCACTGAGGCGCGTGTGCCGAGGCAACTTCCGGTGGTGGTAGGCCAGGTTCAGCCACGCTAGCCACTCCCCCTACAACAGGCGGGGGCTTCATGGGGAGGGAAAACATCGTCCGAGCAAAAGGGCGAGGCGACGGCGAGCAACAGTCGGACGGCGGCGACGGATCATAGTACTAGAAGCGGACTCGCCGAAGGTGCAGAAGAGGGGAGGGTCGACGACGTCCGCCGCGACGATGGGAGAAGAGATGGAAAGCAGGAGGGCGATGACGACGACGACCGTCCACTTGTTACGAGGTTCAAGGGAGCGGCAAAGGAGGATGATCTTGAAGAGAGGTGGAAGTTGTGGGTTGATTGCGGCGCTTTCTGGGGTCAAGGCCCAGGGGAACCCTTGAGGGAGGCGGTAGGCGACTGCGCGGACTACTTCGTTGCCATCGCCAACGAAGACGCAGGAGCTGAACCGCCTTCGATGCTCATAATGCTGCCAAATGATGTGTCGCGCTTCAAGATCGAGGACCCTATGCAGCGTGAACCAGCTCTGCGCAGAGTGCGCAGCGTGGAGAAACTGGTGCTGCGCACCATCCACGGCTGGATCTTCAAATCGTCGCCGAGGTCGATTGGCTTCGCTTGTGCAGAGTCGTACATCACTGTCGACTTCGCTACAGACGTCGCACGAGCAGTTTGGCAGGGATTTGAATGGTCCAAAGTGGTTTCCCCTGCCCTCGTCTACCACACGTTGGCGATGAAGATGGACGTGCCTCTGTGGTTCGCAGGGGTGAAGATTGTGGACCGGCCGGAAGACAACGACATGGCGGCGCGGCAGGAGGCGACAATTCTTCGCTTGGCGGACTGCTGGACAGATGCAGTCTGGTGCGGACAATGGGCGGACGGCGGGCGTGTGAAACAGGAGAGGTTGTCGCGGCTTGCGGATTGTCTTAGAGCGTTATTGAGCGCGTGCATGTGGATCATGCGCATGGGTGGTGACGACGACCGTTCGCACTACGAGGCGTGGTTTTACGCGTCCATGGTCGCCAAACCCACAATGATAGCGGCGGGGTCGTACATCTTCAATTGGCGGCGACACATCATCGACACCGCCAACCTCGTCTTGGATCGTCTAGGGAAGGCCCACCTGACGCTGGAAGATTACCCGCATTGCATCCCGGAATGGTCTGATTGTGGGTTGGTGTTCGGGCATAACGCGGCCTTGAAGAATGCAGAGGAAGCCACAAAACACGGTTGGATCGGTAGCGGGCCTGTGGCAGACGACGATGGAGATGAGGGTAGTTGACACGTGGGTTCCTCCATAAGGCAGCGGCGGGGTGCAGATCGTCGACGGATTGGCGCGTGGGATCAGGAAACGACGAACTGTGCGCCTTCAACTGCAGACGTTAGTGCACGTGCGGGATGGGTGTTGGCGGGTGTTGGTGGTTGAGCGGGGGGAAGATGCGCGGTTCAACGGCGTGGCGACATCAGCAGATGGCGTCGAAGTAAATGTGTTGTGAACGATTTTTTTTATTTTTTATTTTTCCCCTTCTTTCTTGTGATTGGAGCACACTTTACAGTTGTGTTCCACAAAAGGGTATTTTAGCTCAGTGGACGACACCTCCGTCTTTTGTGTGGGCCGTTTGGAGGGTGAATAGCCAGGATAAAAGTGGATCGCCGCCTCAACATTGTTGTGTCATTGAATGAATTTCCTCACATTTATGTTTCTGTGTCGACGACGTGTGTTTGCATGTTTAGGATTGCTCACGCAAGACTATTTTTTTTGTGTTCTATGTGGGTTTATCATGTGTCGCATGCGTTAGTGGCCATCGCATTCTCGTCCACGTCTTCTTATGTATGCGGCCCTTCATTCGATCTTAGGAATCGTGCCATCGTTATCATCGTCGGCACCTGAGAAAACAAAAGAAAATAATGAAAATAGGAAGGAACCTATCCACGCACTTTCATTGTCATCTTTTTATGTTTGTTGGCCACCTTTCCGTTCATAATGACAGTGCTAAATTGTGATGATCGCCAACACCGAACGAAAGCGAATTAAAAAAAATATATAAAATACAAAGGAAGTTCACCGCGAGCAATATAAAAATTTCCCAGAATTAAATAATCATTCTAGGGTAAAATTACATTCTAAATTTTAAATTTTCATTCCATCTTAAAAAATGTCATTCCAATTTTAAAATTTTTCATCTTACTTGAAAACTTTCCTTCCTAGAATAGGGTATCCCTTCTTATTTGAACTGCATGCTAGAGATGGAATGAAAGTCTGGATGAGTTCATGAAATATTCTGATTGGACCGTCATTCTAAGTAAGGATTTCCAGTCATAAATAGGTTAATCCAATCTAAATTAGACGATATTTGTTGTAGTAGAATGAAAGTCTAATTAAAA